CCGGAATACTGCTTCCATGTTCCGTTGATTTCCGGTGTTTTCCTGCAGGAATCGGCGATCTTTCCGCGTCTTTCCTGCAGTATCCGGTGACCGGAACAATCGACCTGGGAGATGTAGATGAATGCTTCAATATTTTTTTACCCATATAAGTTTTACTTCCATGGACTATATGATTCACATTCTAAAAGAAAAATACATGCTGATGACGTACTTAAGCAAAAAATTTCCTTTTATCTTTTGGTGAGATTCAAAGTATTAAATTATCTGCAAATAATACTCACGTTAGAAAGACATACGATCGGTAGCAAATATGTGGCGGAGAGTTAAGACTGTCTATTGAAACACGACATTTCCAGAAAAATTATATTATTCGAGAGGTATAGGCAAAGTAGTTTAATAATGCACTCACACATTTTATAAGCTTTACTTTCAGTTTTGGACTATGTTAAGATAGGGACCGTCTAGTAAATCTTGAACTCGATCAGATGCGGGTTTGAATCTGAACCTTTTGTACTTAATAGGTTCGATTATAGATCTGAAAATTTCCTTTCATCAGAACCTAATCTTAGTGTATGACTGACTTAGCGAAGCTATTGTAAAAGAAAAAAGACAGTTACAGCTTCATTTTTATAATAAGACCGTGGAGATTGTTTAAATAATGTGTAGCACATGCTTGTCGATGAATAGAAATAATTGTGAAAAACATATTGTACCTTCAGAATGATTATTGTATGCGAATGAAAAAGAATTATTGAGAGTATACAAAATACAGTTCGGCTCAGATTGATTCACAAAGAGTTTAATCAACCAGACTGCGATTTCAAAAGTTTGGATTCAATGAACTCTAAGGAAAAGAAGCTTTTCTGACAACATAACATAAAAAATAGATTATTAGCATTTTTTTGAAGTTAGCAAGCGTGATGAATGAATGAGAACTTTGCTGTTAATGAAATCAATCTTATCAAAAATGAAATTTAAAATTCAACATATCAAAGAATAGATAAGCTATCTGTGTACATTACCTCTTTTCTCTTCAGCAAAACGAAATAAATGAAAATGAACTCTGCTGTTGGATCGCCTATCAAAAACTAGCAGAAATGTCTTAGTGTCCATTAGAATGCTTTTGCGGCTATGGCGTAAAATAAACTGAAAGGTCTACTTTTTAATGCACTCACTCTAGATCAATAGTATCAAACTTGCAAGTTAATACTTGATCTACAGTTTGAGTATTCAATTGTTGAACTCTTCAATACAGCTATTCAACTTTGTAGTTCATGTATTCAAGTATACAACTATTCTGCCTTAGTGGCATCTGCAAAGTTGATTAGCTATAGTGTATACTAGAACATTGACATAATTGAGCACCAGAATGTTTGAATAGGTGAATACTTGACACTTGAAACATAATACTAGATATTTTGAATAATTGGATATTCGAATGATTGAATACATGAATAATATAATAGTTAAATATAGTTTGAATAATGGAATATTCAATTAGTTGAAATTGTATCTTTCAAATTCAAACTATTTAATAACTGAATTTAACATTCAAGTTTAACATATATGTTATCACTACGTTTGACTATTATATGCAAATACCGTTGAGTTTTATTACATGTGAGAAAATACATGAAATATTTATATTATCTGTCATAGAAAAATCAAAGAAACTGACATGTCTTTTCTCATATTTATATAACAAACAGTGTGGAAAAGAAAAATATCTTAGGATTATTCATATTTTTGATTCAAGTAGCATATATATCAGAAACTATTATCTGCTGATGGAATAGCAGAATCTTATCAATGCGTAGTATTAAAATGAAGTAACGGGTTACTCATAATGACTGTTCAGTTTTTATTATTCTTTTTTTTTATTTAGTAATTTTATTTTAAAAACAAAATATACCATAAGATGAAGCGTAAAAAGCTCTACAAGTTACAAAGAGCACCTTATTTTATAGGTACATATTTTGTTTTTAGGATGGACTCAATTCAGTGCGACCAATTTTCAACGCTGTAAATATAATCATTGCTTTAGTAAATGATACGTTTGCGTTTATATCTCATCGATGAAAAATAATTCTATTCACTGAATAGGCTAAATATTAAAAAAGAATTATGGTGTAATTAGGAGTTTCTGAAAATGTTCTTACGTTTCCAATTATGTTTAGAATCACAGATGGCTATCGACCAGTCTTGATCTAAATGTTCTCGATTGTTATATGTGAGACGCTATCACCAAAAACATGCAATAGAATAAAGTTAAAAACTATGATTCATTAATTGATGAAATAATGAAGGAAATTTATCACGTACCCATCAATGATCTTATTTTCAGCATCGAAAATTGTTTGCACAGAGTTTTGTCTATTTTAAAAACAAAGGGTACATATATAAAATAAGGTGTTTTTACGTAGTTCCTAGGGGTATTTACACACTGCATCGTATCTTATATGTTGTTTTTAAAATAAACTTACTAGATGATAAAAGCAAGAAATACAAACACTAACGATTCATTATGGGTCACCCCTTACTTTCGCTTGTTATGCATCACGTAATCAACTGCATATGAAAGCTATGGTAAATACTAAATGAATACATATTCCTAAATTCTTTTTACCCCCTTTTTTTTACAATGGTTCATAATTAAACTTCTTGGTATAATTATCAAGAACAGTTATTTTCATGCTTGAACTATTTCTCATTTCCTATATTCAAATATATTCTATTGTTTATTACAGGATTCATTTGTTTGATCTAATGGATCAAGAAAAGTTTTTTCTCGTTCGTTCTTCTACATAGACATCATAAGCAATTTTAGTAATGCTTCACAACATGGCATTAAAGAAAAAAAAACGAGAGAGAAAAAAATAATCTAAGCGAAATGAGGATTTTTTCTACAACGTCCTTATCTTTATACGCTAGTGCGGAAGGAAGTTGCCTCAATCTACATCCTGCAGCATTTTCTCGTTCTCTTCTTTTTTTTTAAAGCACGTTGTTCTTATCTTTAATCTGATCATTTTTTTGATGTTATTCTACTGTGATACTTCAGCTTAATTATTTAGGAAAATTCTGCTTGATGGAAGGGCGTTATAGTAATCGATTATTTCGTATATTTGTTATATGGCTAATAATTTGTATTTTATTTGTATGGTTAATGCCATTAGTAATGTTTAATTCCAATAAGAAAGAAATTGATATAATAGTATATGATGAAAATTTTCTGGACAATCATTTATATCCACCACCATGGTATATATCAAATTGGACAATAAGTGATTATTTTAATCGAAAAGATAATTTTAGAAAAATTGAAGATCAATATGCCATAAATATGAAACAGAAAAAAGTTATTGAACATGGATTTATAAATAGAAAAAAATCAAATTATATAATCCTTGAATATACAACTGTTTTTAATGCACCAAAATTTTGTGGAAAATCACAAGATTTTATTTTTGGTAAACAATGTCCATATCAAAATTGCAGGTAAAACTATCTTTCATCCAAAATATAGAATGTTTCAGAAAATCCACAGAAAAAAAGCAAACATACATAGTTCTTCAATAATCCAAGCAGTCTTCTTGATTTTTTTTTATTAATTAAAATTTATTATTTTAAGTTTTATCTGATATATTCTTGACAAAAATCTCTTTACCGATGACTAATATAATAAAAATGATTTCATGGGTACTCAAATTTGAAAATGAAAATAAAAATCTAAATGAAAGTCGTTTGAGATGATTAGTTATAATGTTCACCATGTATATCAATAGTTTCAGACTAACCTTAGGTAAATTATTTATGACTAGCATCTTATCCAGAGCTATAGTTTGAGTACTATTCAGAAGATAAGTGACCGTTGCTGAAAATTGTTACATCTAGAAAAAAATATATTGCGTTAATGAAAACCATCTTGACTAGAACAGAAATCGACAACGATAAATGAAAGATGAGATTTCTTCTTTTTCTTCAAACTTGATGACTATTATATCAGAATCAC